GCATCTCACCTATATTAATATTATTTTGGTCATTATAGCCAATAATATGATTTGGTTGGTGGAAGCCATAACTAGGATGATTATAAATATTGGCCGAATTATTTTGGCTATATGTGTAAGTACATTGTCCTCCGGCCACTTGATTGTACTGGCCATTATAGCCATGTTGGCCATTCAAATAATTTTGATACATCATATTATTTTGGCCATGATTGTTGTTTCCACCATGCTAGCCATTGAATTGGCTACCAGAGCCATATTGATATGTAGAATCGTATTTGCAGCTATAGCCATCTTGATGTGTACAATTATATTGGCCATTTTGGTTGTGGTTACCATATTGGACAGTGGATTGGCTACTCGAGCCATAAGAATTATAGCCGTTATAGCTCATCGGCTAGTAGGAATAATTCTACTGATTTTGATCACTCATATAGTGTATCCCACCGAGCGTGCCAAATTATGTTCCCCTCTTTTCGGCTGAGGCTACCAATCTCTTCTTTAATTGAGTGCGAGGCGTGCCACTACCAAGCCACGAATTAGGCTTGAATGGAATGTGAGTAGATGATGCGTCCGAAATCTGACTTTAATCAAACGATTTTTTGGCCGAGCAAGGAACCTCCTCACTGCCTAGGTGTAAAATCCCACATCGACCAACGGACAGGGGATGATGTGCTTTATATGTACATGCCCGCCTCCATCTAGCACGAGGCCTTTTGGGAGCTCACTGGCTTCGGAGTCATGAGAACTCCGAAGTTAAGCGAGTTGGGGCTAGAGCAATCCCAAGATGGGTGACCCACTGGGAAGTTGCTTGTGAGCTCCTAGAAACAAAACCGTGAGGGCAGAGAGAGGGCCCAAGCGGACAATATTCTGCTACGGAGGAGCCGATCCCGGGATGTGACACTAGGTTCTTTCACTACCTTGGAGTCAAGGCTTTATGTGAGCAACCAAATTATGTGGAGTGGGTGGAGATGAAGATTGAAGGTGAAATGTAATGAAACGAAGAATACGTGCGTAAAGTAAAAAGTGCTTGAATTTAAATAACTGCGTAAAATAAATAATTTAAAGACGAGTGCGTAAAGTAAAGTGCGTAAAATAAATAATGTAAAGACAAGTGCGTAAAATAAAGAATGTAAAGACGAGTGCGTAATGTAAATTGCATAAATTAAATAATTGAAATGCGAGTGTGTAAAATAAACTAGATTACAAAAAACAGTAAAGATAACATGAATTAAAATTATTGTAATTAAAATAGAATTCAAAAACAAGAACAAGAATGTAAAGGCATAATTGAAATCTACAAAATGGGACTGCATTAGATGGAGTGGGTTATTTTAATCTCATGAGAAGGGCTAGAATTAATCCTGATGATGGCACTGTGTTGTCCTTGCTTGAAGCCTGTGAGGGTGGCCATGGTTTGATAACGAAATGCGGTCTCTATGTGTAAAAGGAAACAAAATAGTCAATCATCTGATCATGATCTAATTGGGAGCAGTTGTAGGATCGAATTGTAATCAGCATAAATAGGTTCTGTTTACCTAGAATAGCTTTCCTTTACTTGTATAAAACACATGCTTCTGTATACAGTTGAACTCACTTAATACAAACCATATTCTTCATATATTTTCACATGGTATCAGAGCACCAAGACTGGTGAATCTGAAAACCCACCTACCTTCCGCTACAGACACCCACAAAACCACTAAGCACACCACCATAGGTGAACCCCAACAAGCCACAGATTCAACGACCCTCACCAATTCATCAACCATATATGATCCTCTCGTTTTGCACCATTCCGACACACCAGGGCTCACCCTTGTCAATGCACCCCTTAAAGGAAATAACTATGGACAATGGAGTCGCTCGATGCGTCTCAGTCTCAGTGCCAAGAATAAACTTGGACTAATCGATGGGTCTATCCAGGCACCATCATCAATTGATGCCAAATTTCCTATGTGGCAGCGTTGCAACGACATGGTATTGTCATGGCTTCTACACTCGATTCATCCCGACATTGCCAGTAGCGTCCTTTATTCTGACACAGCAGCCGCCGTTTGGAATGATCTCAAAGACAGATTTTCCCAAAGCAACGACTCCAAGATCTACCAAATTCGACAAGAAATTGCAAATGTCGTCAAGGACAACAATCAGTCTCCATCTACTATACCAAACTCAAGGCACTTTGGGATGAATTGGCTACTTATCATGAACCCCTCATTTGTGACTATGAGGGCCTGAAAAAGCTCGCAGATCGTGAGGAAAAGGAGAAGGTCATGCTATTTCTAATGGGATTAAATGATTCTTACTCCACTGTTCGTGGCTCCATTTTGATGATGAATCCTATCCCTGATACATGAAGAGTCCATGGGTTAATTCTCCAACACGAGAGACAAATGGAAGTGGCAAGTCACCGAGAAAATCCATCTTATTCTCACGCTATGCAGACTTCGCTTGCCCCGGCGACCACAGGCTCTTTTGGCTCCTACAAACCCTCCAAATGCTCGCACTGTGACCCTTCCGTTGATCATTGCTATTACATCATTGGATTTCCAGTGGGTCACAAATGGCATGGGAAGAATGTGCAACCCAGGAATAAGAAGCCACCTGCTCACAATGACAAGAGGGTTGCTGCTCACAATGTAGAATTGGAAACACCTCTTGCCAAGGGTCCACCAGCTTCTGCTACTGGAGGCCCCACCTTTACAACCGAGCAATACAATCAACTCCTTGCTATGCTTCACAATAAGAAGGGTAATGCCCAGCCATTTGCAAATGCGACAAGTATATTTTCCCCTATTTGCAATACTACACATCATGATTCGCATTCTACCTTACATTGGATTGTGGATAGTGGGGCAACATATCACATATCTCGTCTAACACCCACGCATAATACTCATAGTGGGACTCAGCATGATTATGTTGGTTTGCCTAATGGCAAGCACGTTGCCATTGAAAGTATAGGATCTGTGCGCCTGACACCTGATTTGTCTCTTGATGGAGTTCTACATGTGCCCAAATTTCGTGTGAACTTATTGTCTGTGAGTAAATTAACTCGAGCATTGAATTGTATGGTGACATTTTATCCGGATTTTTGTGTTGTGCAGGATGTGGAAACGAAGAGGATGATTGGCCCGGGCAAGCATTTTGATGGGCTCTACTACCTTACGCCACAACAAAATCCCCACCTAGCTAATCATATTCACCGTACCTCGGATCTCTGGCACCAACGCCTTGGGCACCCCTCCTCAGCTCCTCTCCATTTTTAATCCAAAGCAATTCCCAATCTTATGTTTGATTCTACGCATGTTTGTGATGTCTGTCCTCTTGCAAAGCAAACACGCTTGCCTTTTACTCACAGTTCAATAAAATCTACTGCACCTTTTGATCTAATACATTGTGATAGATGGGGCCCACACAAAATTCCTACACATTCTGGGGCACGATATTTTTTAACTATTGTGGATGATTTTACTCGCTTCACATGGATTCATCTTATGCGTTTTAAGTCTGACACACAATCCTTGTTACAATCATTTTTTTCTTGGGTCAAAACACAATTTAATCATGACATCAAAGTTCTCCGTGCTGATAACGGTGGTGAATTCATCTCCATGTGTTCTTTTTTGGATAGCCATGGTATCATTTTTCACCACACTTGTGCTTACACATCGCAACAAAACGGGGTTGTTGAACGCAAACATCGCCATCTTTTGAATGTTGCTCGAGCCTTACGTTTCCAAGCTAATGTTCCTTTAAAATTTTGGGGAGAAAGTCATCAAACTGCTTCTTATCTCATCAATCGCCTCCCTACACCCTTACTTGCCCATAAATCCCCTTATGAACTGTTGCACCGGGTTCAACCTACCTATTCTCACCTCCGGGTTTTTGGGTGTTTATGCTATGCTACGAATCTCACTCCCACTCACAAATTTGATTCTCGTGCACGTCGTTGTTTATTTTTAGGATATCCCCTTGGGCAGAAGGGTTACCTCGTCTATGATCTTGATAACCACAAAATTGTTACTTCATGTGATGTTCTATTTCATGAACACACGTTTCCTTTTGCTCACTTAACCTGCGAAGACCAACAAGACCTCCCCGTTTTACCTATCCCACTTACTGACCCACACATGTCTGGGACCAATTTTTTTGACCCAGCCCAAACTCATTCCAGCCCACACACCGACCACCCTTTAGCTGTTACGCCTCCAAACCTACCCTCCTCACCGTCCAGATCTTCCAACACTACTCCAGACCTTCCTCTAGATCTCCCTATGTTGTCTTCCACCATGCCACCAGAACCAACCGATCCACCACATGTACCAACTTTCCCCGTCATCCCTTCACCCGATCCGGACACCATCGCACCAGGCACTCATCTTCCCCTTCGCCATTCCAGCAGACCCTTCTATCCACCGGCTCATTTTAAACACTACCAGGCGCATCATGCTGCTCTGTTCTCGGCCGATCTTCCCTCTTCTTCCACGTCCGGTACCCGGTATCCCCTTCATCGGTATGTCTCTTACACTCAGTTATCTCATGCACATCGTACTTTTGTTTCCAACATTTCTCACTTGGTTGAACCAGCAAATTATGCACAGGCTAGTCAGGATCCCAAATGGCTTGCCGCCATGAGTTCTGAGATCAAGGCCCTTGAGGACAACCGTACTTGGTCTCTTGTCCCTCTGCCCTTGGGTCATTGCCCCATTGGGTGCAAATGGGTCTACAAGATCAAGTATCACTTGGATGGCACCATCAAGCTCTACAAAGCTCGTCTTGTCGCAAAAGGGTTAACACAATGCGAGGGCATCGATTACAAGGAGACTTTTGCTCCCGTGGCCAAATTGATCTCCGTACAGTGCTTGTTATCCATTGCTGCAGTTCGCGATTGGCCTTTACATCAAATGGATGTACAAAATGCCTTTTTACATGGGGATTTGCTTGAGGAGGTTTATATGTTACCACCTCCTGGTCATCGTCGACTGGGGGAGTAGATGGTTTGTCTACTTCACAAATCATTATACGGTCTTAAACAAGCCTCACACACTTGGTTTCGTCGGTTCTCTTTTGCCATTCAAGACATTGGTTTCCAACAATCTCGAGCCGATTACTCGTTGTTTACTTTGGTTCGTGGAAACTCTATTACTGTGATATTACTGTATGTTGATGACATGATCATTACAGGAAATGATGAGCAGGAAATTCGGACTCTCAAGCAGTTTCTCAACGGATGTTTTCGGATTAAAGATCTTGGACTATTAATATTTTCTTGGTGTGGAAGTTGCAGGCTCTAAAGACGGGATTTCAATTTGTCAACGAAAGTACACTCTAGACATATTGGAGGAAGCTGGTTTGCTTGAAGTGAAACCCACTAAAGTCCTTATGGAACCTGAGTTGGTACTGACGACAACAGGCAGTGATGCCCTCAAGGAACCAGCTCAATATCGACGATTAATTGGAAAATTAATCTACCTCACCATCACCAGGCCAGAGATTACATATGCAGTGAATACTTTGAGTCAGTTCATGCAAGAACCCAAGCTGCACCACCTCAACGCAACACATCATCTTCTTCAATACCTGAAGAACGCACCTAGGCAAGCTTACTGTTTTCTACAAAAAGTCAGCTAAGTTTGGTTGGTTATTGTGATGCGGATTGGGCCAAGTTTCCTATCACACGACGATCAGTAACAGGATATTGCATTTTCCTTGGAAACTCACTCGTGTCCTGGAAGAGTAAGAAGCAAGTCATGGTGTCTAGATCATCAGCCGAAGCAGAATACCGTTCGATGGCTGCAGCCACTTGTGAACTTACTTGGTTAAGATATTTGTTGAGAGATTTACGAGTACCACATTCTGGGCCAGCAAGATTGTTTTGCGACAATCAAGCAGCCTTACATATTACTGCGAATCCGGTGTACCATGAGAGAACCAAGCATATCGAGCTAGATTGTCACACAGTTCGTGAAAAGATCCAAAAGGGTGAAATTAAGACAGCTTATGTGCCAACAGGAAATCAGATAGCTGACATCTTTACAAAACCGCTAAGGGCACCCATCTTTCATATGCATCTCAGCAAGTTGGGTATAATTAACATCCATACTCGAACTTGAGGGGGAGTGCAAAAGGAAACAAAATAGTCAATGATCTGATTATGATCTAATTGGGAGCGGTTGTAGGATCGAATTGTAATCAGCATAAATAGGTTCTGTTTACCTAGAATAGCTTTCCTTTACTTGTATAAAACACATGCTTCTGTATACGGTTGAACTCACTTAATACAAACCATATTCTTCATATATTTTCACACTATGCAAATGCCACAGTTGCAACTGGACTGCTAGATTTGTATGCAACGTTGGGGAGATTAAATTATTCACTGAAGGTTTTTGGGGAGGTAAATAATCCTGACAAAGTAGCTTGGATTGCAATGCTTGCAGGCTATACATTGCATGGGAATGGGAGAGAAGCAATGGAGCTCTTTAAAGGCATGGTTAAGGTAGGTGTGGAGCCTAATCACGTCACTTTCACTCATTTGCTAAGTGCTTGTAGCCATTCAGGGCTTGTTAAGGAGGGAAAGAATTACTTCGACATTATGTCTGAAGTTTATGGAATTGAGCCTAGGTTGCATCACTATTCATGCATGGTTGATCTCCTGGGTCGCTCTGGGCTTCTGAATGATGCTTATGAGCTGATTAAATGTATGTCGTTGAAGCCAAACTCTGCCATTTGGGGGGCCCTTTTCGGTGCTTGAAGGGTTTATGGCAACATTGAACTTGGGAAGGAAGTAGCAGAGAGATTATTTTCTTTGGACCCATCAGATTCCAAAACTATATCATGCTATCAAATATGTATACTCTGCAGCTGGTTTGTGGAGAGATGCTTCAAAGGTGAGGGTTTGATGAAGGAGAAAGGTCTCATCAGAAACCCTGGATGCAGTTTTATTGAACATGGAAATAAAATTCATAGATTTGTCGTGGGTGATCAATCTCATCCGGAGCATGTGTTTTATACAAGTAAAGGAAAGCCATTCTAGGTAAACAGAACCTATTTATGCTGATTACAATTCGATCCTACAACTGCTCCCAATTAGATCATAATCAGTCCAGTTGCAACTGTGGCATTTGCATAGTGTGAAAATATATGAAGAATGTATGTATAATGTATTGATTGATATGAAGAATGCTCACAGAATATATATGTTGATTCAATTCCTAACAACTAAAATGAGTTATTAAAAACAACAACTTTAATTCTCGCAAGTGCATGAACCGTTTATAGTATAGCTTATGTAAATACGAGGTCGATCCCACGGAGAATGGTAACTTGGTTCCAAGTTAAATTACTTAGAATGCTAGA